ATTCCGAGCTGTCGATCTTTCGTACACCAAGGAGATCACCAATGAGCTGATCGGAAGGTTCGTTCCCCGTCTTACTGCCAATGTGTTATCTTGGGGATTCTAACAAGAGCGGAATAGGTTGCTCGAGGAGATTTTCGACCTGGTCAAGGGAGGTCACGTAGGGCCGATCCATCCCATCAGCCAGTACAGCTTCGATCAAGTGATTCCCGCTCTCTCGTACATCCGCCGTGGTCAACACATCGGCAAGATTGTTATCTCCAGCGGTGAAGAGGACCCGCAGCTTCCGATCCGTCCAGCCGTTCGCAAGCTTCAGCTGAATGCTGACGTTTCGTATCTCATTGTCGGTGGGCTGAAAGGCCTCTGCGGCAGTGTTGCTGTCCACATGGCCCGTCATGGAGCGCGTCACATCGTTGTAATGAGCCGCAGCGGTATCGATGACGAGGCATCAGCACGGTGCATTGCACACTGCGCGGCATGGGGTTGCGAGGTGACATGTGTCAAGGGCGATGTTGGCGACGCCAGCTTCGTTGACGATGTTTTCAAGTCTGCGCCCAAGAGGATTGCTGGTGTGATCCAAGGTGCCATGGTTCTCAGAGTGAGTGTGCTCCATCCGTTTCTTGAGAATATTTGACTGACACCCAGACAGGACAAGCCGTTTGAGACGATGACGCACGACGACTATGTGACTGGTCTCCACGCCAAGGTAGCCGGTACGTGGAACATACACCACGCAGCACAGCAGCAACAGACGCCGCTTGACTTTTTCACTCTGCTGTCCAGTATCTCTGGTGTTGTCGGCAACAAGGGTCAAGCCAACTACGCTGCCGCGAACGCGTTCTTGGATGCGTTTGCCTACTACCGGCAGGCAAAGGGACTGTACGCCAACACGGTCGACCTGGGAGCCATTCAGGACGTTGGCTACATGGCGGAGCAAGGTGGAACCCTTGAGGCACGCTTTGACAAGCGTCAGTGGACTCCCATTGATGAAGCTATGCTGCGCCGGATCATGAGCTACTCCATTTTGCAGCAGGAGCATCGACCAATCCACAGCGACAGTAGCGCTCAGCTTGTCACAGGTCTGGCATACCCGCTGGTGGCTGACGGATCCGACTTGGCGAGCGAGCCCCGCTTTTCTTACTTGTTCAGCAGTCATGCTGGCGGCAGTGGTGCTGGGGACGAAGCAGGCGAGGGCAACAGCGAGATGGAACAGGCGATCAAGGCGTTCCATGTTCTTCACGGGACGGGCGCCGAGGTCGCGGCACTAAACACGGCTGCACTGGGCCTGCTGCAGCCGCAGATCACCAAGCTGCTGCGCCTCGAGACGGAGATGGAGCCAGGCAAGCCGCTGTCAGCGTACGGGCTGGATTCGTTGTCGGCCGTTGAACTGCGAGGCTGGGTGCGGCAGAAGCTGGGTGCCGAGCTGAGCACTCTCGATATCACCAACGCGAGCTCGCTAATTGCCTTGAGCGAGAAGCTGGTGTCGAAGCTTCCGGCGCCCGGCGAGGGAAAGAAATAGGTAGTTAATTGTTTGTAACATGTTCTATGGAGTTAGGTGATTGCATTTTGTTAGAATGAATATAACCCATGGATGCGAAAGATTTAAATTTCTGAGATGTTGAACCAGTAATACCAAGTAGCATCATTCTCTAAGCATCCATTGATTCCTTTCTGAGACATGGTTAATCGCCTATGAATTCGAGATTTGAATTCACATTGTATGATCTGGCCAAGAATTCTAGGTGGTTTCATAGTACTTTTTGAGAATTTTCCCCCAATAGCTCTCGGACGGGTACCCTTGAAGGCCTATCGGGAGCTAGCATGATACGCTCTATATCTTGTCGAATGTTACGCCAGATGGCTTCAACGTTGCATGAGATATAGCAGATAGGAATAATAATCAGCATGTTCGATAGGAAAGAGAGTGGGTAACCTACCTGATACCACTATTGCAGCTACTAGAGGCCACTGGACAATAGAATCTTATTAGGTAACGAAACGCAAACATACTCTAGAGATATACAAATAAAAGATTCCATAATTTGACCTTTACCTATTATAGTCTTGATCACTTTGTCATAACTATGGCAATATATCGAGGCACAAAAAGATAGGTGTGTATATTACGGATTCCTGGTGACTTATACATTATGTAGACACAACATAGTCTATACTATTGCGAATAAGACTACTCAAGTCCAGTACGACCAGGGTCAGCACCGTTCCTGAGAGCCACAGGGTTACTTGAGTACATGATACCAGCCATGCATGCCACCTATATTTCCTGGGGCTTCTCCCAGCGTGAGCGTCAGCGCGCTGGATGGGCATGTCACCGTGCTTCTGAATTGTGCTGTCCAAGTCAAGACAAAGTATTGCAAAGCCTCGTCTGACACGGAAACAAAAGGCATCATCCAAGGCTCAAAGAAACATTAACGGCGGCCAAGCATAAGCCAATCCCAAACTACGCCTAGCCACGAGCGGTTTCCATCCGGATTGGATCCCTGCAATCTGAATATAAGTTAGTAGGGATATCAAACTGGCAAGTATTTGAGTGGGTTCCAGTGAGTCGACAACAGAATGCATCAATTGCAGCTAGTAGATACCAACTATCAACTAAACTTACAAACGGGGCTGAATCTTCTCATCCGCAACATGCGAGATCTTGAACCCGCCCACACACAGCTTCTGGAAGACCTGGTCCGGGTCGTACTTCGCCGCCGCAAGCTTCATCCTGCGCACATTCTCCATGCCGTAGCTGCGCAGCGGATCCTGCGACCCGTCCGCGTAGTTCAGGTAGACCCAGTCGAGGTTCCCGTTTTCGATCGTCGCCGCGTATGCCTTCAGCTCCGCGACCCACGCCCGGATGCGTGGGTAGGCAAAGGCCTGCTGTGCGGGTGTTTTGAGTAACACGATGGCGACGAAGAGCAGGCCGTCGACGCGCTGGTTCTGCACGCCCATGACGTTGCCGCCGTTGCGCGCGGATGTCTGGCCGTAGGCTTTGGGAAGCGGCTGGAGGAGACACTGGGTCGTGAAGTCGCCGTCCGGGATTAGTGCTTTGAGGTCATTCACGAGACGCTCGTGCAGCTCGGTCGCTTTGGCAACAATGCGCGCGTCGTTGGCGAATGTCGCCGTGTAGAAGGTGGACTGGTGGTCTCCTGGTGAGACGTCGTACTCGGACACTCCACCCAGCACCGTCGTTTGTTTACATGTGTCCATGATCGCGGGCAGCTCCTTGAATCCGTGGTATGCTGGGGCGTCTGCAATGCCGGCGAGTTGCGCTATGGCGACGACCACAACTATATCCTTGAAGTCGGGCTGTTTTCCACGTGAGTATTTTTAGCTGCTGGTTAAGGGCGACTTGGGACATACTAGGAGAGGAGACACAAAGGTAAGTAAAGAGAAAAGCCCAGACAGTCGTATTCATTCGCCCAGAGGCAGCATCAAACTCACCCGTATATGTGTGGAACCAGAGCATGTGGCTATCGGGGTCCGACTCGACGCTGGCCGTGAACCGCACCAGCGCCTCCGTAGCCTGCGGCGTGACCTGCTTGGGGTAGATTTTCAGTCCGCCAAAGATGCCGTCGCTCTTGAGCGCGTGCATCTTGTAGTTAGTCACGATACCGAAGTTGTTCGAGCCGCCCTTGAGCGCGAAAAACAGGTCGCTGTATTCATCCGCCGTGGCCGTGACGATGCGTCCATCCGCAAGCACCACCTCGAACGAAATCACGTCGTCGCAGGTGAACCCGCGTCGCCCCGTCGAGAAGGAGATCCCTCCGCCCAGGATCAAGCCCCCCACGCCAACGGTGCCGTTCCGACCGCCGGCGACGATACGGCCGTGCTTGTCCAGCTCGCTGTACACGTCGCGCCAGCGGCCCCCGGGGCCCAGGTCGACCGTCTCCGAGGCGGCATCGAAGCGCGTCCAGTTCAGGAGGCTGAGGTCGATGGTGACGCCGCCGTCGATGTTGTTTGCGCCGGCATGTGGTGTGTGGCCGCCGCTGCGGACGGCGAATTGCACTTTCTTGTTGGCGAGCGTCTTGACAACGGTCGAGACCTCGCTGGCTGAGCGCGGCCGCACGATGCAGGCGGGCTGGAGACGCGCCTGCTGCGACCAGTAGCTCTGCACCCGCGCCGTGTACTCTGCATCGTTGGGCCAGAGTACTTCACACTCGATTTGGGCCTCGGCCAAGGCTTGCGCCAGGACAGATCCCTTCGTGAACGAGGGGGTCGTCATTGTAGATTTCGGTGTCAAGACAGGGAGGCTCTAAAAGTTAGCGCGTTGCCCCCTCCGAGGAGGGATACATAGAACTGGTAGAATAAATAGTGGAGCATTAGTGGATCATGCCATATGTGTGTCCCATTGCTGTCGGGAATCTATGCAAACAAGTTTTGTCTAGACGTCGAGGGTGGTCGGAGATGACTGGCTTACATGCAGGATGACTTCCAGAGGGGGGCGAGCGTTAGGGTCCAGACCCCACCATGCGGGCTTACTTATTATAAGGCCAGCCCGGTAATCAAGATCCGCGGCTAGTAACCCTAACAGGATCTTATCACTGTCGAAGCTTTTCTGTGTCAGCTTACGTTTGATCTTAATTTCACGCATGCTTATCTTTCTAAGTAATCCTTGTAATTACGAAGGAACGACTCCAAGAATGGGTGCCTACGAATAGGGTTCTAATTTGGTCACGGCCAACCGTCATCTCATATAGGTAAATACATAGGCAGAAATATAATCGCCGGTGGAGAATGATGATGAGAGTAAGATAGGCGTGGGGCGCTGACACGACGGAGAACGAACGCCTTGGGATCACGGACACCGTCGCCTCTGCTAGGCACGATGGCGCTTCTAAGGCACAGTACTTAGGTCGTGAGCATTTCCTATGCTCTATCGATGTACTTTTAGAGAGAGGTCTTTCTAGATACATAATCTCAATCCAACGTTTAAGAGTAAAGAATCGTTTCAATACTCATCCTTTCTAGCCATCCGAGAACCAGCACCACACAAGATGGAGCCCATCACAGTCTACTACTCCGGTCAGTACCATATCCCACATCTTGGATGACATCAGCAGACAAACTGACAACTTCACAGGCGAGGCCTTCAATCCATGGAAGGTATGTCGTAGAAAGAACAGAAGACCTACTACCCCCCGCTGACACTTTCACCAGGTCGTCCAGATTCTCGAAGAGCTCAGCCTGCCCTACACGCTAAAGAACATTCAGTTCGACAAGGTCAAGGATATCGAGCTCACCAGCGTCAACCCCAACGGCCGCGTGCCGGCCATTATCGACCCCAACACCAACCTGACGCTGTGGGAGTCGGGTGCCATCGCTGAATACGTAGGTCTGCGAACAGTTCCCCCATTTATACCCCACGAGCCCTGACACTGTCCCCCGCAGCTTGTTGAACAATACGATACGAAGCACCTCATTTCCTACGACACCTTGATCGAAAAGAACCAGACCCGCCAGTTCTCTCACTTCCAGGCGTCTGGCCACGGGCCACCGAACGGCCAAGCCGTGTGGTAAGGTTCCTCTGACGAGTTCCCTGCACACGAGCTCGGTATTCACTGACAAAATCTCCACCAGGTTCATGATGTACCACCCGGAGAAGGTGGCGTCGGTCATCGAGCGGTTTCAGAACGAGACCGAACGCGTGGCCCGTGTTTTAGATGGTATCCTGGCCAAGAACGGGACCGGATGGCTGGTCGGTGATAAATGCACTTATGCCGATCTGTCGTTTTACCTCTGGGGTCTGGCGAAAGACCTAGCTTGGCCGCAGAAATGGGATAACGCCGAGCTGCCGCATTACACAGCCTGGATGAAGAGCATGGCAGAGCGCCCAGCGACGAAGAAGACCATGGCGTTGCGTCAGGAGAAGTCCTGAATGGCGGATTAGAGATGTGGCCGAACCTGTAATACGCAGTAGTGTTTTCGCAGGTTAAATAGTAGCAACGCAGATCGTTTCTTGGCTATATTTTTCCGTAGGATCCTCCTAGTATGATTGGCGGACATTATCCTGTGCATTAACGGTCGATACGCTCGTGCTCCTGTGTGGTGTGTCGTCTTAGGGGTGGTCGTATTGTGGTGGTCGTATATCATCGCCGAGGAATCCCCGTCGGATCCTGTCAGAATCGGGCACGAGGACGCAGCTTGGTCACCGAGGCTTAGTAAAGTTTGGCAAAGCAAGGGATCATCCTTCTGTCATTCGTCGATTCGTTTCATCCAAGATTTAGTACTTGTCAGATTACTAGTACTATTCTTAGCGGGGAGCATCGGAGAGAAACCGAAGGACTTTAGCCGGTAGTCTCTGGCAGAGAGATAAGAGATGGCCCCGTCTTACCATGTGCTGGTCATCGTCGAAGCCTCAATCTCGCTTACGGAGTAAAGTTATCTGCGAGTGAGTTGTGTCCCGAAACCTAAACAGATTGCCTTCACGGTGTCGCTCATCGAGTTGTATAAAGTAGGATCTATTCCGATCATGGCCATTGGTCGCGATGATAGTGGAGGATGATCAGTCCCTGTCGTTGGCTAGTCGTATATGCGTGGCGGTTGCTCGGACTCCCACTAGTGCGAGTTAGCCCTAGTGAGCCCTAGTTAGCGCTACCTAGTAGTTCGTAGGAGTTACCCTTGAAGCGAGACTTAAATTTACATGACGCATCAAAGGCGCCCAGGATTCCACTCCAGATCGACCAGGCACATGCGGTGGCACTCTCACGTTGTGCTTGTGCTTCAATTGAAGTTCACCAGAACCTTAACCTGCACCGATCAGGTCAGTTGATTCAAGCCAGACGGCAGATCAACATGAGTGTCTATCTTTCACCCCGAGGAAGATGGTGTTCTCGAACGATCTGCGAGTGGGATTGGGAGGGAGAAAGCCGAGGAGGGTCTGGTAATAATATCAAGCTTTTATAGCTGCGGCTAATGGATCCGTTCATTTTTCGCCCCTTCTACTCCAAACCCACTAGCCACCACCAGTCATCTCGCATGCCTGCTAACTAAAATCTGATAATGCCCTCTCGCTCTCCGGGCCTGGAGATCGTGCCTAAATCCCGTCAGCCCCACTTCAGGACGATTCGTAAGTCTTAGCTACCCTGGATGTTGGTTCGGCAGGTGATTTCATTCGCGTTCTAGAGCACATTCCACTGCGATACCCGCACGGGGTTACATCGCTTTCCAACTTTTACCCTCACTCTCGCGAATCATCGCCAGTTGGAAATGATCCACCTTTATCCTCAGACGTTAGCGGTTCCATTGCTCTGCATGGTCGGATCCTGCATTTGCCAAACTCGGTTTGATGGAGCAGAGAACAGTCCAGACGTGCTGACAGGCGCGGTGATACGAGACTGAGGTCGGCCTCTACCGCGGCACCGCCACCATGGCCCCCACGACCACTATAGGGCCCCCCGCTGGTGGTACCTTTGTATTTGTACATGTACGCACTCACCAGGATCTCTAAGAGCCGCTTATCTGGCCCTCTATCGACTCGAGCAGTCACTGTTGCAATTGAGATATTGGCCCGAAATGGAAGACATCAACACCATGGACATCCTCGACCCGGTCGACCGCCGCCGCGCGCAAAACCGTCTAGCACAACGCCGTTTTCGAAGTAAGTCACACCAATGGCCACCCCAGGGCACCGTTCCCCAGCTAACAAGACTCTTTCCCACGAAGAACGCTGTCAGCAAAGGCTCCGACAAAGCGTGGCTATCCAGACCGAAGCTGCTTCGACATCTGAACCCTGTTCATCGTGTACGGCCGGAGACACAGCACCACATTTCCTCACCTTACAATCGGACATCCTCCCGGACGCCACCAAAGAACCCGAGCATTCACTGTTCTCCGACCACATTGACACCTTCCTCATCCCGGACCACATCTTCCCACCCACGCCCGAACATACCCATCTCTCCGACACAGTCACATCGTCGTCGTCGGGCGACGGGGATAACAGAGGCCCATTGATAGGTGTAGAGGCACATCCAGACACGGTGAACCACATCGAGGGCAACACCGGGCCTACGGGAGTTCCACGCGCCGCCTCCGCGCCCACCGCCAGCTGGAAAAGCCCGCTGCACGTCGCCGCGCAGGAAGGTTATGGGGGCATTGTCCAATTGTTGCTCGAGCATAACGCCGACTGTAACGAGAAGGATAGCGACGGCCTGACCCCGCTGGCACACGCGATCCGGGGCGATCATGAGGCGGCCGTCCGCCTACTGCTCTCCCACGGCGCTCGGCTCGACTACACAGACGGCCCGGGCTGCTCGGTGTTCCACTGTGCGGTCATCCATCGTCGGGAGGCCCTCCTGCGTCTGTTTGCCACCCATTGTGCCGCCAATCTGGCCTTGCTGGACGCCTTGGATGTGGAGGGCATGACGCCGCTGCACCGGGCGGTCGTCACAAATTTCGAAGCCGGCGTGCGCATATTACTGCATCACGGTGCCAGTGTGCATCATCGAGCCCAAAACGGCCAATAGCCCCTGTTCTGTAATGATCCACGACATAATGAGCAAGCCCTAGATAGAACGCGCATGGAGCGCGCCGGCTACATTGTCTCTCTCCCAACTCCCTATAGATAGAACGAGCAACCCCGTTGTGTTTAGATTAGCGGCTTTTTTAGCGTAAGGACTCATAATTGAAGTTCTCTTTTTGTGTGATCGTGCTGTAGTCGGATTCATTCTCCATCAGCGTGAAGATGTGGCGGCGGCTTGCCAGTAGCTCAGCCGCGGGAGGGGATCCTGATCCGCTGACTTCACGAGGCTTAGTGATTTTTAAGTTTAGCCAAAGGTGCTTATCTTAGCTAAGCTCATAGAACGAGTAGTATCGTTATACGGAGAGTAGTATGAAGCCTCATATCCTCGTATATTCAATTCTAACGATCAAAAGTGCGAGCAAACGTGCTTTTGAGAGACGCACCATGTCCATCCGGACGGTCCGATCATGCAACCTCTCATTCCACCGACATTCCCCCCTCCGTCGTGTCATCGCCCCACCCTGTGAGGCAAGAGGGTCGCTGACCTCCGATGATAATCCGATGCCTGATTATATTTCTCAGTAAGACGAGTGTGATGACCAGGCAGTACACGCAAGCTGGTGAACGCACGCGTGGATATGATGGATGCCCTGCGATATCGCTGATCCGGGTCAAGCCGAAGGATCTTCTCGCCCAGACGGTCGTTCCTGGGATGGGCTGAGGGTTGAAACAGGCAATCTTTCCTTCCTTCCGCCCCAGCGGCTCGACCGCTCCAGGACGGCGACGCTTCTACTTAAAGGAGCTCGACCCTTTCCGGTGTACCGCATCGACATCTTCGATGCACTGAAGAGGTAGGAGGTCGAGAGGCTGCGACACAGCCATGAGAACCCTTCGATGTTGAGAGCGTCAAGACTGACACATCCTGGAGTCGACGCCCGCGAGATCATTGTACGAGCGCACAGTACTGTCTGCCCTTGCCTCATCGTGATTGTGGCCGGTACCAGGCTCGGGAAAGACACGGCGAATAGTAAAGTTGGTTACTTTTCTTCCTTCATCAGGGTATGAGTCCCGATGTTCCTTGGTGCAGTTCCCTTAGTCTTGACGTAGTATCATGAACATTAATGATAGGTATTCACTGTGGCGGCTATTGACCCCCTAAATCAGACACGCCTCGAATTAGATATCCTCGTGACATGTTGCCGTTCATGCCATATCTCCCAGGCGTCCAATTCAATTCCCTGTCGTGGCTACATAGATCTTGGGTATATAGTCGATGATGGAGTTTAATATGGGTATATCTCTACGAGGCTTTGTCCTTCTCTATAGTTTTTAAGAATCCTACTGTTGTTTATTAATTTTGTGTGTGTTTGGAATGAAGATATAGATAGACAATGAGTTGTGTCTCCCGTAGACTGCTGTCGATATGATACTTATATCTATTCTTCTAGTGCTAGCTCTGTCTTAAAACAACACAATATAGTAGTATATGAGGAGCTCTAGCTTGAATATCTAGATGTCTACGGGATCTTTTAAAACGACCCCAAAGATCTGTTAGCTTCCGATTCGTGATTCCAGTCTTGCAGATTAGGCCCAAAGATAGTTGTAAATACGCTTGTGCTTGTTGCTGGTTATTACGATCTTTCTACTCTAGGGCACTTGTTGACTGACTGAAGGTAGGAGCTGCAGTAATGAACTATAAGGAAATCTATTACTTATCTATCCTAGTAGTAAGTAGTGTGCAACATTTAACTATATGTAGCTGAGGTAAATACATAAGCGAGAGGATATGCGCAGGCCGCTGGAAAAATTAGATTCGTTAAAAGGACAGATTGTTACACAACTATATTGTATCATTATCATTGCGTGCATCTGGGGCATAGTTAGCTGGGATCCTCGGCAGACAGAATTCCGTAATTGTACACGATAATGGTTAGACTTCAGAGATACTTGCTTAGTCCACATGAATTGTCAAGACTGGGAATATAATTTCAATTACTGTATATCTATGGGCTGAGCGGGCTATATTGAACGCAACCCTTCGAATGCAGACCATAAATAAACAGTGTTTATCAAGGTCACTATACATAGTAGAGATAGAAGTATCCTCGTTTCAGGTTCTTTGGAGCCCATGTCTTGCCCAGATTTCTCTTTGCGTCTTGTTCAGGATAAGGACGATGAGGGTAATATAATGGCAGGATGAGTCTCCATTTAGATTTCTGCACGGGCGTTTTGGAATTCAGTTACTTCCTAGGTTCCTCTCCAGGTTGTATCGTAGAACCAGATACCAAGTCTCTAGCTCCCCACTAAGTGGTTTGGCTTTGGCTTTGGGCCCGATTCGTTACTATTGTATAGCATTTAATACGACCTGTGCTAGATGGATAGTGAAGATGGACACTATGACAGCGAAGATGGGGACTTGCGAATGATTAGTGAATATGGATAAGTAATAGCTAGTGTGAGGCTATCTCATATTAGCACCTGTGAAACTTCAAGGGAAAATAGGTGACTAAATGACACTTCTCTTAGGTTATATTGTGCAAGAGTAATTATATAGTATAAGTTCTTTAGTTGGGGTCATCCAGCTTGAATTTATCCAAGGGTAGGGGAACAGTACTATCCCCTTGGTCGCACTGAAGTGTTGGCGCGGAGCTTGGTATTGGGGTTTTGGGAAATTACAGATTTATATTGTTACTTTGTGCCAGTCAAGAAAAGAATTCTGAAAGATACTTATCGAGTCCAATCCATATATTAACAATTTCTGTGGCTTAGCGGTGATTATTAGGACGCTTGCTTTATTTCCCGGATTGTTTACTTTGATATGCATTTGCTCTGAAAGAATCTAGACCTGCGACAGTTCTTTTGTCTTCTCACCAAACCCCTCAAAAATTAGGGTCAACATTAATCAATAGTAAACTATCCTCACAACTGCTCATACATAGCATCCGTCCGCAGAGTATACTTCGTCCCCCGAAACACCGAATCCCCACCATGAAGCAGATCGTACTGCTGAAATACAAGCACCGACCCCATTTTCGGGAAAACCCTCAGCTGCCTCTCCTTCTCCTCATACCGAGGAAGAAAGGACGTAGCACCCCCGAGCAACTTGCCCCCAACATCCAAGTTAACTTTCTCCTCTCCTTTCTCCACCCGCGTCTGCTCGCGTACCAGTTCCTCGAGATCCTGCTCCCCGTCGCCGTTCAGATACAAATGAACTGTATAAAACGACTTCTCCTTCCGATCGGGGGTAGTATAGGACGCATCCCAGTGCGGCCTGAAGTACTCCCCGCCTTCATACTTGAGAAACCGGAGTCGTTCATTCAGTCTCGTCAGTTTGTAGATCTTATTCCGGCCCGCGAGCCCGGTGGCAAGGGGCCGGTCCTCCAGTCGATCGATGTCGAGGTCTTGGAGAAAGGGCATTAGTCGATTTAATAGTTTCTCCGCTAGTTCGGGTGTGTCCCAGATAATACGCCCGCAGTTGCGGGTGTCTGTGGCCAGTTTTTGTCGTCCGTTACCCACGTTGATCATGGCGCGTTCCCAGACGGGTGTGGTCGACTGGGGAGTGAGAGTTGTTGCTTCTGCGAGACGGATTAATTCGTTGCATTCTTCTTGGGTGAGGATGTTGTCTATTATTGCTGCGAAGCGGCCCTTGTACTCGGGTAGTGGGGGGTCGGAGGTTGCAAAGTCGATTTTGTGGTATTTGGCTCCGGACGGTGCTTGTGGGGGAAGAAATTTGGGAGTTGTTTGCGGACCCATGGTTGTGAATATGATGTGATGATGTTTGGGATATGTTATGACGGCGGGCTGGATATCGTATTTAAAGAGGCTTCGGGGGCCTGATGCCTAGTGTCTGCCTTACGGGGCTGCCTGGGAGGCTGAGTCACAACATGATCTTGCCATGTCATCCGTTATATGACCGGTATAATGAACGATGGCTTGTATTATATCTTGTTTACTGCGTCTGCATTGTTGCGAGTTTCCATAAGTTCCAGAAACTGCATAATGAGGCATCCTTTAAATGGCCCTAATGAGTCAAAGTCATCCTCCAAAATGCCTGAGAACATTCTGTGAAATTAGGATACCTAACTTGCGTAAATTAGCTCTATCGTCTATTGTGGTAAGATAAACTACCAACCTAATTTCTGAGATACACAAAAACGAGTCAAAGCTGCGTTATACAGCCCACCAGTCATACTCGAATCTTGAGGCGAATAGACTGCTTCAACGTAGAATCCACATCTTTGGCTGTGCTATTTGTATGTCATCGCAATTCGATAGTCATTTGGATGAGGCGATGGTTATACCTCAACCTTGACATGACGGCTCCATATCAGTCATTGCGTAAAGCATGGAAGCAAGTCTATGAACTGATGTGGAAATTCCAATATGCAGGTTCAAGGTTCCTAAAAGGGATCAAGGGAACAATGATAAAAAGACTTAACGTGGCCTTAGTCTAAATAGGCCCAATCGAACCCAGCAACTGCCACTCAGGAAAGTCAGTTTTACCTTTCATCTTCTTAGTAAGTTTATAAATAGAAGGGCTTCAAAGCACCATAGTGCGACTTGATAATAAGTCAGGAGGGTTCAACCCAGGCCTCGAGACGAGGCAACAAAGGCCTAGCCCCGTCGAAGCTCGTGTAAAGACTGTGCTTAACACTATTAGCAATACCAAGGAATGCCCCATATCATACGTAGGGCTCCTGACGATCGGACTTCCTCCGGGATCACAATCTGGACAGTCGTGGAGACTTCTAGAAAGCCAAATACGCGTCATATTCTGAATCGTATCTGAGGTCTGAGGGGAAGGCGGGGTAAACCCTTAAACATTAATGAATTTGAGGTCAAAGGGTATTGGAAGATGCGTGATCTGCATCTCTAGTCTGGACAGTCTTAAAATTGGGTGTTGATGATAGCCCAGTGAGGCCATGGTAGTATAGTTAGTATAGCCGCATTGAAGATGTGATATTATAGGTGCCATGTCAACAAATGCATGATATGCGGGGTCTTTCGCTCAGTAATAGATTATCAGGGTTGTCAAAAGTAGTGTTGGGGTTCACCGTCGTGAAGCATGATCAGTCTGACCGCATGCAAAGCTCAGTGTTTGATGAAAGTTGCAAATGGAAGTGGACAAATCTCTGCTGGTCACACGGGCAGTGGTTGGGCTTATTGCCGTTAGGCTCAAACATCGAGACCGTTCTCTGGGGGATGGCCGAGGCACAGACCACATCTGGGGGATTCTGGAATCTGGGGATCGTCTCCAGGGAAATAGGCATGTCACTGTCTTAGGTAATTGGATATTTTCTTCAAGGGATCGGTCCGACAGGATCGGATTACCCGGATCACTTGGAGGTATATTGTTGACTCAGGTTGAAAGACAGGCCACCAGGGTGCAGGTTATGTCAGCCGGATCAATCTCCGAACAAGCACTAACATCTAAATTCACAAACAAATCTAAGACTATTGGTCAATTCTGGAACCATTGGTTGAGATGGCTGTTCTGAAGATAAGAGAATTTTTTTTTTTAAAAAAAAAAGCCAATCCCTGGCGAATGCAGGAGCGTCAACTAATGGGATGTGGTCCTTAGGGCCGGTTGTGAACCGCAGCCATTATTGGGCAATTCCATACAAACAAACTCCAATTGTCAAATCAACCCCTAGACTTTCTATCAATAGCGCAAAGTATAAGATGCTCACGGGGACAGGCACAGACGATAAGGGTTCAGATTCGGTTCTGGGTCTGGAGTACCGAGCGAGTGAAACCAAAAAACTGGGGCCGTCATTTCCAACACAATTCCCCGGAAGTTCCCAAAAGGGTAAGTAGCTGCCTGAGAATTGTGTTCCATTGCCTCCGAAGGGAGCGTTAGCGATGCGCCACATTCGAATTTCCAAAATCTGATGGTCACACGGTACCGTCGCGGATCCATCTCGGCTGGCCGAACTGATAAATCAATCTATTTTCCATCGCTGCTCCAATTTAGTACTAATGTCTCTATGATTACGTTGGCTGTATATGTCTATTATCAAGTGACTGTCATATGATATGACCTAAATATAGACCATTTAGTATGTATTGTGTGCACAATACCACCAATCTCTTTTCTTTGAGCGATCGGTTTACTGTATATATCCCTAGTACCGTCAATAGAAGCTGCATTAAATCCCAATTGCACTATACAGAGCCTCAGGATGTTTAATACGGCCAAAGATCGAAAATAGAAAAATCGGACGGGCGAAGTGGCCAATGAGAGTGGAGGTACTGCAACAAGACTACGAACTTCCAATGAGTAGGGATCACTGAACATGGCAGATTCAAAGAGATTTTAGACCAGTAAAAGTTGTGATTAGTAACGAAAATCCAATGTTTCTTAGGATATCTAGGGGTGACTCGACATACCATGGAGTGACGTGGAATTGGCCAGAGCCATCTTCTGCGTCCTGCAATCTGCGTGTTTGATGACTGCCAGTAAGAGATCAAACCTACGAAGTACTGTCCCTCCCTCGATCGGCAGCTTGGCGGTAAGATTGGCAATAAAAACCAAGGCGATCTCTGAGATACCCCGTGACCACATCCCCAGATGCGCGGGCTGTCGAATGTTCCAGGAGTGCACTGTTTTCTTCCAGAACAAGGTGAACAGCCCCGTGACCTGCCCCGACAGCTGTTCCAGTGGTCTCGACCCGCCTACTTACCGACACCTTGGGGAAGCGCCCACCTGAAGGCCCACCTTGAGCTTCTTCCTTCCGCCGCGCCGGGTTGCCCAAACAAGAAAGCCGAGTCCGCCACTGCCACTGCCATGTATCCTCTGGTATCTAGTACTTGGTCTTTATTTTTATTTTTATTTTTCTTTCTGTTTAATCTTATTTTTTTTTCAGTGGTAACATTGTGTTCTCAGAGCAAGATAGCGTGGTTGTGACAAGTGATCCTCGTAGGGCATCTAGATAATTATGATATCAAATTGTAGTCATCAGCCCGTCATGCTCGCGATATCATACGAACATCCAAGTTAACAAAGTTGGCTTTGATTGATCTCAAATTACATATCTACGCTCATCGAGTCACCACTAAGTAGCATGTTGGTGGTTTTACTTGTTTTACAGGAAACATGACAATGGTAGTAGGGTGCTAGTGTTGTAGAATAGCCCCATCCAGGATATCAACAGGATGAAGGTAGGAATATCAATTTCATGAGTAGAAACGTGGTGATCAGCATTCCCCTTTCTTGCCACGAAGAAAGACCAAGTGACCACTGATGGTGGGCCCAAAGTCTTCATCGTTCATGCATTCCCCCGGGTCTGGACCGAACCCACCATTCACGGCTCCCTCGCAGCCTTCCTCTTTTGGCTCCCTTACCAACTTTTTCCTCTGCTCACATGAGGCCTCTTGACATTCCCGGACCCAGAGTAATTCTTTCCCCCCGGCAGTCTCCAATGCCCATCGTGAAGTATATAAGTATGCCATTTCTCGTGTGGAAATGACTGACTAGACATCATCAATTGAATCTCTTACTGCGCTCCATTTCTCAACCGACCTTAGTGAAGACAGTCGCTGCAAACCATTCACAAGTTTCACTACCTGAGCTTTGCACTTATCTTCAGTTGATTCTACCTTTCTCTCCGATATACATTTGCCTTACGGAGTATCCTGAACAGCACAATGTCTGTCTCTATTGAAACCAACGACATTGCCCCCGTCGCCCTTCCCACACAGGCGGCCCCTTGTCTCGGCTCCAAGAACAGAATGCCTGAGTTCAGCTTGGCTGGAAAGGTCGTCTGTGTTTCCGGTGCTGCCCGTGGCCTTGGTCTGACTCAGGCTGAAGCGCTTTTGGAGGCCGGGGCCAAGGTATATGCCTTGGACCGCCTAGCAGAACCCGTAAGTGCTTCTTTCTAAGGGTTATCCATCAATACATGGACAGAAAGTCTAATTCTCTATCTGGGATAGTCCCCTGAGTTCTACGAAATCCAAAAACGGGCCAAGGAGGAGTTGGGGACGGAGCTGCAATACCGTCGCATTGATGTCCGTGACACCGAACTTCTCGACAGTACTATCGAAGCCATCGCCGATACCGAGGGTCGCTTGGATGGATTGGTCGCTGCGGCAGGCATTCAACAGGAGACCCCAGCTCTCGAGTATACGGCCCAGGACGCCAACACAATGTTTGAAGTCAACGTCACTGGTGTATTCATGACCTCCAAGGCAGTTGCTAAGCAAATGATTCGTTTCGGCAATGGAGGTAGCATCGCACTAATTGCGAGCATGAGTGGTACTATTGCCAATCGGGTACGTTCTCGTCTTACCGTTGGTTTTGCTTCAATAAAAGTTTCCCCACCTTTCGGTGTCTTTGCGAGTGTCGGGTTGCACGAAAACATCCCTCTCACGCCACTCCGGCGTTCTGTTCATGCCATTGGTTGCTACCTTACAGAGAAGTTACTGACTGGTCTGCCACGTAGGGTCTTATTTGCCCTGCTTACAACGCTAGCAAGGCTGCCGTGATTCAACTTGCCCGTAACCTCGCCATGGAGTGGGGCCAGTACAACATTCGAGTCAACACCATCTCGCCCGGCTATATTGTTACTGCCATGGTTGAGAAGCTCTTCGTCGAGTTCCCGGAGCGTCGCGAGGAATGGCCCAAGCATAACATGCTCGGACGTCTGTCTACCCCTAACGAGTACCGTGGCGCTGCCGTCTTCCTTCTCAGCGACGCCAGCAGCTTCATGACTGGAAGCGATCTACGCATGGACGGAGGTCACGCCGCTTGGTAGATGACATTTGGATGGCTCTTTCCTTTTTTTTCCTTTGCATACTCTATTTTCCTATTCTCATTTCTATTGCATGGCGTCGGGAAAGCAAGCGTGATCGGATTTGGAATTGATGGTCTTATCATGATTCTTGTGTTTTGGCCGATAGGACGAGATTCAGTTGGTGTTTCAGCGTTGCAGTTACTGGATCAGGTCTTAGTCGATTAAGTAGAGCGACATTGTACCTATACATAATGCATGAGACTTAATTTGGAACAAGTGAACAGTCCGCCTGAGAGAAGCGAAAGTATGATTGACGATGAACGTTGCGGAGGGTAATCCTTGTAGAGTCTGGGCTGGCAACTAACGAAGTAACGTTAAGTAAGTTTGCATGAATCATCTTCCACTTAGTGCCAGATCTGACCATATATGGATTAATGATGCGCATGTTCGCACATGACCCACTGGACAATTCTGAACTAAAGCACCACTTGCGCGGCGTTATTCAGATTCCTACGAATGAACAGTCGAGGAGACAGGGATGTTGCTTCCGAGTTCCCGGCAAACGAGTACGCGTCGAGACCGTTCATTTAATTCATTTAACAACACCAACCCGCCAAGAAATTGTCCATCCGGGGAATCTCCACCCATCAAAGTCAAACTTTTTCCCCACATTCATCCCGCACCACAAGAACCGCGCGCCGTCGTGGTCGTATCCATGGTTGTCCTTGTCATGACATCAAGATCCCTGCTATCGAGACCAAGCTAAACCGCGAGATACAGTCATATCAATCACCTTGTTCAACGTATGGAGTACTGTCTCCTTTTGCCGCTCAGCTGGAGCCAACGGTCCAGATACGGGCCATGTCTGTACCTGTCCAATTATCGTCAATTGTGAAGGATGCATGATGTCTTCATGACCGCTTCTCCGATCAAAAATAAATGAGATGGATAAAGTCCCGGGATTGCCAGAACTGACTTACTTCTCTCCGTCCGCCACTGAGTGGATTGTTCAGTGTCTAAGGGATTACCGTTTGGGGCTGTCTACAGACGTAGTTGGATTTGAAATCCTGGGGTAAGAATCATGGGACGAAGTTGGTATAGCGGTACCTACATCTTTCTGTAAGTCATCTAATAGGCTCTCGCCC